AGCCGCGACGGCCTTGCCCCCCCTCCCCCCTCCCCCCGGTTCTGCCGCTCCCTGCTCCGTGGCAGGGCAGCAGGCACAGGGGCAGAGCAGGGATTCACACCTCGCCGTGAACTTCAGGCCAAGATCAACCTCAAAGACAGGAGCTGAACGCGGCAAACAGCACCGGGCAGACAAAAACGAGGGCGAGAAAGAAACTGGTCTGCATGGTGCCCAGGGCAGGGCAGGTCCAGCACCTTCTGCGCAGCCCCATGCATTCTGCTGCAGCATCGTGCCAGGAAAGTCAGAGCATGAAACAGCCCTGGGGAGAAAGGTCCTGGTCTCGGAGCTACAGAGAGCCGGGCCTGGGCTACACGGGGATTCCTATGAAAGTACCACAAACACCAAGTACTGAGCCGTGGTGGAAGACGTGGGTCAGCTCCAGCGTCACCAGGGAGATGGGTGGGAAGGAGGAGGTGTCCTGAGATGCAGCAGCTGAACAGGACCCACACTCAGACCACCCCCACTCCCCTGAGAGACCCGGCAAGCCGTGCAGCTCGCATGTGGGATGTCACCCCAAGGAGCCAGTGCCCACGCCCAGGACAGGCCAAGCCGCTGTTTCTCCACTTGGAGATGTGCAAAGGACAGAACCCACCAGCCTCTGCTCCGTCACCCCACTCAGTTAAATACAAAACCTTGTCCTAAAGCCCCTCTGTGAACCCAGGCTTGTGGGAGCATCCACATGCTATAGGACTTACACCTCCCCTTTTAAAGTCATCAGGAAAATAATATAAGCCTGGTAATCACAAGAAAACGCCAGGTCAAGCTGAAGGAAGGGATGTAGAGGTGTCTGCCCCAACCTGCAAACAGCCTGAAGCAGCAGCTTGGAGGAACGGGCTACCTCGTTTGGGTCTATGGCTCATTAACTACAGGAGCCTGCAGACGTGTAAACAGCAACTATGGCATCGCTACCGCAAACCGGGGAGAGGGATTACCCCAGGAGAAACACCAGCTCAGGCACCACTCAGGCCCAGCAGAGTGTCACTGGCAGGCAGAGCTCCAGCAGCAGAGAGGGGCCAGGCATGTCAGAATTTCAGTTTTGTCCTTCTGCAGTGGGACAAGCAAGGGACAGGCCACCCTTCAAGAGCCAGGCTTGCCTGGAGACACCAACTGGAGTGCTGAAGATGCATCACCTTTCTGAGAGCAGCCAAAATTCAGCCCAAGTCAGGCCAAAGGCACAGCAGCTCCCCCCGTGCAGGCAGCACGGGCAGTGGCAGCTTCCCCCGGCAGGGCGGGGATCTGGGGGCTGGGGGTACAATCCCTGCAGCCCGCCCAGAGAGAGGAAAGGAGCAGCTTGAGAGCAGCACGGCTGAAGAGCCCAGCAGCAGAGCAGCATGGGGGTGCTCCCCAGCAGGCCTCGGGGTCTCTTCCTCCTGCAGAGATGCCACCGGCAGCTCCAGACCTCGAGGTACGACACCTGGAGCGACGGGTGCAAAGAGTCCCACGAAACCCTCAGGGAAGCTTGAGGATGGGGAGCAGGGAGACAGGAGCTAGATGAAGGTGGAGTCCAGCTGGCTTGTCTCATGGTTATTGTGGGCACGAGCCTCGAAGAGCTGCTTGATCAGGGCTGATTTCTCCTGCTCCAGCTGGGTGATGCGTTCGCTCTTGTCAGTCACCTCCTGCACGGAACAGAGGAGGAAAACGTCAGCATTTGCTGGGCTGTGGGTGCTGGGCTGGGAAGCCCAGCAGTGAGCCCAGCCCTGCAGGGGCTTCGTGGGTGCCCCTTCCCCAGCAGCCCTGCTCGCAGACCCCACCCGCAGCACCTGAAGCTTCTCGAGACCTACATTTGTCACCATCTTTTCTCTCCGGCAGGGATGCCCCATCCTCGCCCACGGACCCTCACCCAGCAAACAGCTGGACACAGCTGCATGACAGGGAGGTGTCCAGGTAGGCCAAGCTGAAGAAACACTTTCTGTTGCCTTGTGTTCCTTCCCCAGTCCCATCCCATGTCGCCATCCTCTCCCATTCACACCCCCAAGGGGATCTCCTCCCCCCGTGCCCCCACTCACCTTGGTGAGAAGCCGGTTTTGCTCCTTCAGCATGTTGATGGTTTGCTGGGAGCCCGCCGAGGCTGGGGACAGCACGGGGACCAGCCTGCTCAGAGCTGAGGAGGGGTTTGCCGGCTGCAGAGAAGATGATGGGAAGGGATGAGACCTTGAGCCTCCTCTCCAGCCTTTCTCCAAGGCCAGAAGCTGTTTCTGGGGCACACGGGGAACTGAGAGAAGGCCAGCATGACATTAAGAGCCCAACACAGGCCATCACAGGGTCTGCAACGAGGCAGGCAGAGGTGGGAAGTGTTTCTGTCTGGAGCCCAGTGGGACAGCCAGCTCCAAGAGGACTGACTCAGCCCCTCAGCAGGATGGTCTCCTTATTCACTTGGCAGTGGTCACACCTCTTTGGAGATCTCCCCAAATGCCTGGAGCATCCTCCCGCCCAGCTTGGAACGAGCTGTGCTGCCCTCTTGGCCGTTCCCCTCGGTGTGGCGGGGGGACAGGACAGGTCCCAAGCTCACGCAGACCACAAGCCGCTGATCTGCTGCTCTCACCTTGCCGGCGGTGGAAAGGAGGTCACCCAGGCAGCGGTTCACCTCCTGCAGCTTGGGCACCAGGCGTCCCAGGTGGCTCTGGCCACCCTCAGGGAGGAATTCCTGGGGAACGGGGTGGAAGAAGAGGCTGGAGGTTACCACAGGGCCAGCTCCAGGTCCAGCCAAGTCCCAGCCTGGTTCTCCAGGCCCACAGAGCAGCCTCAGGCCCTCCCAAGCGGACGGGCACCCCAAGAACAAGCCCCAGACTCACAGCACTGGTTTTGTTCTTCCCCAGGAGCCTCTGGCGTTCCTGCATGAGCTGGATGTGCTGGTGGTACCACTCCCGAGCACGTTCTACCAGCTCCAGACCCTGCAGCAGGAAATCCTTCTCCTGTTCCAGCTCCTTCATGTGCTTCAGCTGCAGGACAGAGCACACAGAGATGTCACCGCCTCCCCACCGAGGCCTTGTCAAGCCCCAGAAGCTGGCTTCATCACGAGGTGCGGAGGGACAGGGACGCGGGCAGGGGTCTCACCCCTCTCCCCATGAGCAGCTGCAGAGGAGCAGGACGATGGCTGCTGCCTCACGCTGCTTTGGAGGAAGAGTTCTCCAGTGTGGGAGAACAACCAAGCCAGGCGAAGGACAGTCAGGTCACCTCCACCCTCCTGCTCCTCACTGCAAAAGCAGTTTCTCCGACTCGTATTTATCCAGGGATGCAGCAAGAGCCAGGCCTGCAGCCGCGTCCCCAGTCCCCCCAAGGCTGCGAGCAGCAGCACAAACACACGCGGCTCTCGGCTGAACTGAACGTGCAGACTGGAAGCTGGGGGGAAA